GGCCTCAAGGTGTTGAATGGATGAAATTGTACCTCACGAATTGGGCAAATAGCCAATAATTGTTAGGCTGTTAAAAATCAGTTGCAGACAACTTAAGTCATGCTCCGCCTGGGGTACATCACATGGACTCTTCCAGTTATTAATGTAACGTGCTCTGCTTTGCCTTCGGACATGCCAACATTTCCCATGCCCACACTATACTGTGTGAAAAAAAAAAAATGTGTGTGGTTTTGTTTGCAGAAGGATAATGCACACACCCACAATATGCGGTGTCACTTCAGAAAACACCAACTAGCTAGGAGGGAATTGAATTTTGATTGCTTGTCAATCCATTCTTACTTTCCACTTTACCATTAAAGATAATCTTTTTATTCCTTATGTTTATTTATTTATTTTTTTCCTTTCTTAATGAGAGAACATTTTTTTATTTTCTTAAAAGGAAGATGAAAAAGGCATTAGGTTAAAAAGATTATCCTACATTTATACTTGGTTGAAGATAAGGGAAAGATTAAACTACTTTAAAAAGGTTTCACCTAAACCAAGTTTTCTGGACTTAAATTTTCTGCCTGCTTGGGCGGTTAATATTTAAGGTTGATTAACAAACCGTAGTCCATGGCAACAAAAAAAAATATATGTTTAGTATATGTAATGCTCTAATTAGATAAAGGTAACGAATGCGCTTAATGCCCCACATTAAAACACATGTCAATCATTATAATCTAGCAACTTAAGACTAATTTAAAAAAGAGCAAATAAAAGGCAATTTGAAGGTATTATAGATGACAAATGTTGTATACTAGAGAAAAGGCGAATGGAAATTAAAAAAGTATAAAAAATCCTTTTTTNTTGGAGAAAACACCAATAGTAGCCTAAACACACGACAAAAGCAAAACACACAAAAACTAAACTTTCCATAAGTGGAGAATAGAGACAGGGAAAATAAAAACACAAAAATTAACCTAACACACAGAATAAGGCCCTCTACACAAGTCCAAATGCCACTCCGAACACTACCCATCTAACCAACACCCAAAGCGATCACCCAAGAAGACACAACCCACGACCCAAATAATAGGATCTAGAAACTCCCCTACGGCTAACTAAATCTGGATCAATAGAGTAGAAACCTTCTCAAATGGTCACCACCGGGTCAGCATTTGGAGACCCGCACCCAATCCCTCCCTCAATACAACCGACAACCGCAACCCACATGACCGAAGGCGACAATCGCCCTCGCTGGAGGAACCTGCCAACACAACACCAGGAAAAGGACAGGACCAGGGGAAAAACAAGGCACCGTCCTCAGCCTAAACTGCTGCAAGGCAGTGGTCGGCGCTAGCCACCGTGATCGTCGACGAGCCTTTGGAACCCAAGTCCCCGCCATAGCTACCGGGAAAAGGAGACTTATCACGTGAGAAAGGAAACGGTGACCTGCCAGGAAGATCGAAGCCAACCCAGGAGCAAAGCCAGGCGCCAGACGACACCTGAGGGTGCAGAGCACCCGCCAGTGAGGAGGCGCAAATTTGAGGACGAAAACAAGGGTTTCCTAGAGGAGAAGATTAAATAATATCAACTAATCATTTTTATGCATCCAATTAACTTTAATTCACTTTTAATCCAATTACATAATTTAACTATCACTTCACATTATCTCTTTCATATTTTTGCATCAAATCAATTTTGATTATTTTGTTTTAATATTATTTTATTATAAATTCAAAATTTCGATAACAACTAATCAGATTATATTTTTCAAATTAACCTTGATTAACTAAATAAATTCATTTTGAGCAAATATATTAGGAAAATGTTATATGCACATAATATTGTGAATAGGAGTGTACATAACAGTTATATTAAGTGGGACCTATCAAAAATAAAAAATCAAGTGGACTCTCACTCTATATGAATGTCATGTACACCTTTATATATATTTATTATGTACACGTAGCATTTTCCAATATATTAATACCCCAGTACGCCCAAGTTGTTTGCCACTTTTCACACCCAATACTTTATTGACAGCTAAACAGTTGGACACGCGGGGAGCCATAGTACACTATCCTTGTTATGTATAAATAGGCATTCATGTATGCCATGCTCCCATCAAGGGTTGAACTTGCCAAAAAACTATAACACTTGCTCAACCCAACATTCTCTTTTTTAACTCTTTCCCCTTTTCCCACATCATTAACTCCCAAATCCTTAAAAGTTCACATTTTGTAGCCACCATTACCTCCTCAAGCTCCAGAAGATTT